CATGGGGAGCCTTTGAGCTGAAGCAGATCTCCCTGATGTCCCACACCTTGGTTTGCATGACAGGTGTGCTCCAGGGGCACACGTAATGTGCTCTCACCTCAGGCAACCTTCCAGCTCTTGGGACTCCCACCTTTCCCCCCTGAAACCCATTTAGTGTGACCTCTCTAAGCAAGTTGTTACCTATATTTCCAAGAGACTCCACAATCCTGAGAAGAGGGCCAAGCACATGCCTCCAGGTAGGACAGCCTCTGCTCTCACCTGACAGCTGTGAGGGAGGATGGGTTTCACACCTCAGAACACAGGACATTTTCCCACTGGGCACATACAAAAGTAGTATTGGTGCTGGCTCAGCGTTACGGTTTGAAGGGGCACAGGCTGGTTTTATATTGTCAATATGAGGATGGATCCACAGGGGGTAGAACAGAGAGGGGTCAGGATTCCCTCCTATTTCCTGCCATACTCTTTAAAGCCAGGAGGGTAGGAGAGCCCGCCCCTTCCTGCTCTCAAGTTCCTTCCTGCCCTTGGAGGTCTTGGGGAGAGGATCCTGCTGCTTGTTTTCAGTTTTCAGTGTGCTCTGCAGGATCCAAATCCATCGTGTGCTGGGAAGGCCTTGCACCCTTTTCTGGAGCCAGCTCTGCTGTGAGGGACTTTCAGACCCCTAGGTCAGTGATCACTGAAATCAGGTTTTTTATATATTTGCATTCTTGTTCCTTATCCCACAGGTTGTAATCCCTTCCCTGTCCTATTAAACCTGTTCTAGTTTTAACTTCTAACCTTTAAGTCTCTCTTCCCTATTCCCCTTTTATCTTCTCCTGGGAGGATGAAAGGGAGTAACAGGGAGCAATTCTGTCTCTGGGTGTTTGGTTTCCCCTGACCACTCATCTGAGACACTCAGGGAAAAAAATCTTTAAGGCCTCATTTGAGCATGCAACTACAAGGTACATAGCAGATTCCTTCAAGGTACATAGCAGGTTACTTCTGGCCTCCATTTATAGGCTGGAGATGTGCTGCTGGGGTAGAACCTCCATTTATACATTCCAGGATTTTAGGGTTCAAATCTGCGTGGCTGGTTCTTGAGATGGGCAAGGCCATTTCCAATAAGTAGTGCATGTTCTTGCAGAAGTGCACTTTGCCCTTTCCTTTCTATACAAGATTATCTTGGAAAGTCTCCCCAAAAAAAGAAAAGTTAAATTTGACAGAGGCACAGACCATTCTGTTCTACACTCCTTTCTAATAGGGAAGGTCCCTCATACTCACCTGGTGCTGATACATGCTAAAGATTTTACAGTAATTTGTGCGTTGTCTGTTGAGTGTAATTTTTAAAGCGCTTCTAAAATACATTCTACATGGAAATTCCCACATCCTAACTAATGGGAAAACTGAAGGATAAAATTTCTTGCTACTGGCAGTTTGGTACATACCAGATATGTGGATCTAAGTTTCCTTCCTAGGTCCAAAACCAAAACCAATCTGAATAAATGTTAAAAGTTTTATACAAAATACTTCCACATAACAGCCTCTTCTGTGTCATATTATACTTACCAGTGTTATTTTCTGTCTTAATGCTGACTCTTCAGGCTTTCTTAAGAAAGGTGGTATGGTATAACAGGGGTTTCTTCCTCCTTAGTCTTGGGTTTGCTTAGGTTTATTTTTATCTCTTTTGGTATCACAGTCAGCTTCCCTTTCACTGGTTCTTAATTGAAGTTTGAAAGATGCAAGGTAGCTTCCTCTGCTTCAGTTATCATGAAAGATACTTCTTGATTATCCAGTGACCCCCAAGGCTTGGCAGACCTTTACGAGACCTGTGGTAGTCACAACACTTAGCCAAAAACAAGTAAGGTAATAGCTGTTTGACTAATAGACAGTTTAAAAAAAAACAAACCCAAACCAAACCAACAACCTAAAACCACGTTAGGCCCAGACAAGCCCTAAGATTTTGCATTTTTAGGTCAATACAAACCCTAAAGCCTTATGCTACTAATGAAAAAAAAAAAATCTTATTTACTGCTTTACAGCAATGGAGTTTTTAAGGAACTGAAGAGTCTTAGTATGACAGACAATGGTCAGATATTCAGAAGGAGGACTGAAAAGAAGATAAACTGATGGCAAAGGCAGTATCTGAATCGAGGATTAGGCTGGAGCATGAGTGCAGAGAATAAACTGGAGTGAAAGAAATGTGAAGTTGCTAGGGAACCATAGAAAGCCTTCTAATGTGTCATGGGAAGGAGCCTTAACAAAGAGCTAGTCTGACCTCAGTGCTAGTTGTTAGGTGGATTTATTAAGCTCTTTGTGGCTGACATCTGATCAGCTCTGAATCATTCTCATCTCTCTTTCAGATCACAGTGACAGAGGCATCCAGGGTTCCACTTATCCTCGCTACTGACAGCAGCACAACCTCAACAGTACTGGTGTGTTGGTGAGTTTACATCTTGGAGAGGGATAATTAAAGAATCATTTTGATAATTCCGTCTTAACCATACGGACAGGGAACTGTGAGCTGGAAGTTTCCAGCAGGGTGGGCAAAGCTCAGTGGAAGCTCATTTTGCTCTTGGGAAGCGCAGCCAATGCTACCACAGTAGTTTCTATACACAGTGACTGGGGGACCAAGCTCAACACTCAGCGCTTCCTGGGAAACCTGAAGAGCTCCAATGCAGGCTCTCCTTTAAAAGCTTGCTAGATTAACAGAGCCAAAGCTTTTTCAGACAACTGACCTCAGGCCCGGGCTTAGCTATGTTCTGCCATGCCATGCTGGTGATAGTCAGCTTCTCCTGTATTGCTCTCTGCTTGACAGTGCAGCTCTAAGGCAACCACAGTAATGGCTAGACCTCAGTATTTTTTAAATTCACCTTTTAAGCAACATCTAGAAGAGGCATTAAGCATTCAGAGAGCAAACCAAGGACAGCACAGAATGTAAACTCCTGAGAGCAATCTAGAAGCTTCCATTTCCTGCCCAACCTATATGTTCACCTCTGTGCCCCTGACTGGTAGCGTCATTTTTCACCGTGAAATGAACTTGGAGCAGAAGATGCCCTCCTATCTCCAAAAGGATTTGGCAGAAGATGAAGTTGTAAGACAAAACTAACCAAGCATGCTGTTAGCCTCAAGTTCTTTCTGACCTCCTGTATTTCTGTACAGCTCTGAGCCTTTACACCATGGACAGTGTTTCTCTGTAGTTACTCCTGGTAGTTTTTCTCCCCATGAACATGTCCAAGTCTCCTTTAAATCCAGGTAATCCTTTAGCTTGCAGTGACAAGGAGGTCCACAACTTAACTGCATACTTTGTGAAGTAGTCACCCGTCTTTGTGCTTTTGAATACCTTGCCTTCGGGTAGTTTCATTTGATTTACATACATACACTCACACACACACTGTTCTCCAGCCTCTGCCCTCTGCACTCTCCTGTTTATTTTAGTGCCAGCACCAGTTAGAAAATTGATTCCTGTCAGACCTCTCCACAGTGTGGTGACTTTAGTGCTCTGCTTTGTATGCCCGCTCAGTTCTCTCCTTTCAAATCTTAAGTCTCTGGGTTTGTTTCCGTAGTCCTCCTGTAGAGGTCTCTCAATGCATTTGATCAGCTTCATTGCCTTCAGAATAACAATCCCTTGCAAATTAGGTTAGTCTGTTTTTCTTTTCTTTTTGGTTCCCACTGCTGAGAAATGAGTGGCTATTTTCACACAGTTAAGCAGCAGTGTGGAAGACCTTGCTCTTGGATGCTAACTGTCAGCTCAGAGTCTGTCTTTTTATATGTGAGACTACATTATGCTCCCCACAGATAAATTTTTGTGGGTTTAACTGTAGAGAGTTTTGTATCCTATTTAATGATACTTTTTCCTCAGTGCCATGAAAATTGCCTGTGTTCCTTAAGCATTAGTTCCTTAGTGCCTGGAATAGATATATTTCATTGGGAAATGCTGTGTTCCCTCTTGTTCAAGAGCTCTTAAGCTTGCTTTATGAATTGCTTAAGCAATGCAAAGCCCAGCACTAAAAATATCTTTCATTTTATATCTTTGAGGATTATCTCTGAGATGATTCTTTTCTGTCACTTACTAAAATAACATAGAATGGATATGCAGTTAGGAAGGTGGTAACAGAGGCTCTACCAAAAATTATATACAAAGGTTATAAAACAAAAGTGTGTCTGAAGGTTACTCTTGGTACAGATCTAAGCACTGAAAAGAGGAACAAATGAAAACTACTCCTCATGGTGCTTATGCGAAGGAAACTACAATGTTTATTCTCTAGATATTACAGTGGTTACAAAGACTAATTACACAAGAAAGTGACCTAGAGGTTCACATTTTGTGGATCCCTCACGTCACTTGGATGCCTCGTGACGCCTTCACTCTTCCTCTTCTATCTTCTTGCCATGAAACTCCCTGCTCTTGGCCCGGAGCTTGTTGACCTGTGACTCTGCAATGTCAGCCCGCTCCTCGGCTTCGTCCAGCTCGTGCTGGATCTTGCGGAACTTGGAGAGGTTGACGTTGGACAATTCCTCCTGTGCAGGAGAGGGAGAGGTGGTGAGGAGCCCAGGGGTGTGGTTTCACAGCGCCCACACCTCAGCCTCCCAGGGCAGTGGTTCTTCATTCTGGGAAGGACCAGAACTTCATCCCCTACCACCACTGCTTACACATAAACCTCACTCAGACCTCCTCATCTCCTCCTCTTCAGGACCTTACAGTGAAAAACCTCCTACTTTAAAAGCAATTGTGTCACTTGGATTGGTCCTTGGTGTACTTATTCCCCCCCTACTTGATCCCTGGAAGTGGTGGGACACACTAAGTTGAGAAAGCCCCTGAAGCCTTCTGCTGTGGATCAGCAGCAGAGACTCCTGAACATCTCAGCCAGCGGATGTGGCCCCTGGGTTTCTCTAGTCAGACATCCTGTGTTAAACCATCTGCAGAACGTCCCTCTGTTCATCCCTGACTTAAGGGTGCTGAAAACTCAGCAAGGCCTCCAGACACGACACTGAAACAGCATGGAGAAGGCTGTTGTGTCCTGGGAGTTTCCTTCATGCTCCTTTCCTGCTGTTCATACTCATCTCAATGTGTGCGCTGCCCCGGTGGCTCTTACCCATGCTCCAAGCAATACTTACAGCCTCCTCAGCTTGTCTCTTGTAGGATTTCACCTTCATTTGCAGCTTGTCCACCAGGTCCTGCAGCCGCAGAATATTCTTCCGGTCTTCCTCAGACTAGAGCGGTTGGCAAAGAGGGGAGAAAAGCAGAGATTGGTTCTGCACCATGTGAGGTTCACTGCTCCCCTTGGGGATGGTGGCTGCACAGCCTGACTTGCTGTCAGAACACTCTGCCAGCCCAAGGAGGCCTCCTGCCTTACCTGGTAGGTCAGCTCCTTCACCCTCCTCTCGTACTTGCGCACACCCTTCACGGCTTCAGCGCTGCGCTTCTGCTCAGCATCAACCTCCCCTTCCAGCTCCCGCACCTGCAACGACAAGCCCAGCTTTGGAGCTTCCCTGCTGGCTGCTGACATCACATCCTCACTCACACACAAAGAAGAGCCCTACACACCCTGGCCTCCAGCTTCTGGATTTGCTTCTTGCCTCCCTTCAGGGCCAGCTGCTCAGCCTCATCCAGACGGTGCTGCAGGTCCTTCACTGTAACGTCCAGGTTCTTCTTCATCCTCTCCAGGTGGGCACTGGTGTCCTGCTCCTTCTTCAGCTCTTCTGCCATCATGGCTGCCTGGTGAGGGAAAAAGGTCAAGAGCCATTTTGGGACTGGAGATATTTTTGGAAGAAGGCACTTCCATTAAGCATTGAAAAGAACCCTCAGCTCACATCTGTGATGGCCTTCTTGGCCTTCTCTTCAGCATTGCGGGCTTCCTGGATC